GTTGGGCACCATTGGGTTCTATTGGGCACCACTGGGTTCTATTGGGCACCACTGGGGTCCGTTGGGTTCTATTGGGGTCCGTTGGGCACCATTGGGTTCTACTGGGCACCATTGGGGTCCGTTGGGCACCATTGGGATCCATTGGGCACCACTGGAGTCTATTGGGCACGATTGGGGTCCATTGGGTTCTACTGGGGTCCGTTGGGCACCACTGGGATCCGCTGGGCACCATTGGGTTCTGTTGGGCACCATTGGGGGTCTGTTGGGCACCATTGGGGGTCTGTTGGGCACCACTGGGTTCTACTGGGCACCACTGGGGTCCATTGGGTTCTATTGGGGTCCGTTGGGCACAGCTGGGCACCATTGGGACCATTTCCACCATCTCCGCCCCACTGGGAAACCCACACCGAAAACACAGAGAAGCAGTGACCCCACAGAAGGTTTGGGGTGCCGGTGTGACCCCACAGAAGGTTTGGGGTGCCGATGTGACCCCACAGAAGGTTTGGGGTGCCGGTGTGCCCCCCCAGCACGGCCCCATAGCAGCTCTCCAGCACCGCAGCCCGGCTCGGTCCCCGCGCGGCGCAGCATCACTCCGCTCACATCGCTGCCTTCATCTCCCACTCCTGAGAGCCACCGGGATGGGGGTCAGCTGTGTGCACCCCCCCCTCGTATCCCCTTGCCCCCCCCCCCCAGCTCTGCCCCACACCTTTCTCTTCTGCAGCACCTTCCCTCTCTCCGTGCTGCCCATGGATGCGGGACGCTTCCAGGCGCTCCTGGCGGACGCAGCGCGCTTCAGGAGGGGCGAAAGGAAAGAGCCCTGCGATGGGATGGGGGGAGGTGAGGGGCGATGAGTGACACCCCCCCCCACGACCCCCCAACCCCACCTGGTGGTGGCTGCAGTCCCACACCTCGCAGCTGGCCGTGGGTGACTTGCCGTGGGGCAGCAGGGTCAGCTCGGAGCCGGCCTTCAGCCTGCTTTTCTCCAGCCTGGAGGCGGCTCTCTTCCCTATGGGGGCAGCGGGGCTGTGCTGTAGGGCACAGGAACCCCCACCCCATAGCCAGGCCCGTTGGGTCTTACCGGTGAGGAGATCCAAGCTGTCCCGAGTTCCTTTCCTCTGGGGAAGCGTCAGGGTGCGCTGGGAGTGGAAGAAATCCCTGGTGTGGAGCTGCGGGCTGCCCTCGTCCTGCTGCCGGCCCTGGGGAACTGCAGCTGCTGCTGGGAGAGCAAATGGAGCAGAACGGGGGGATGGATGGAGGGAGGGGTGGATGGAGAGCATGGGTGGAGGGGTGGAGAAAAGAAAGAGCAAAGAAGGATGGAGAGGATGGATGGAGGGAGGGGAGTAGAAGGATTGGAGGAAGGATGAGGGGAAGAAGAAGGGGGATGGAAGAAGGATGGAGGGAGAAAAGATGGAAGATGGATGGAGGATGGAGAAAAGAAGAGGGAGGGAGGGAGGGAAGGAAGGAGAGGATGGATGGAGAGAGGGTAGTGGAAGGATGGAGGAAGGATGAAGGGAAGAAGAAGGGAGATGGAAGAAGGATGGAGGGAGAAAAGATGGAAGATGGATGGAGGATAGAGAAAAGAGGAAGGAGGGAGGGAGGGAAGGAAGGGATGAAGGGAGGAAGGAAGATGAAGGAAGGGAGGAAGGAAGGAAGACGGAGGAAGGGTGGAAGGAAATAAGGATGGATGGGGGAAGGAGGAAAGGTAGAAGGGTGGAGGAGAGGTGGATGGAGCACCTCCCAGCACCACAAAGCACGTGGCCATGGAGGACACGACGCCAGCCAGCACCCAGCGCTGCTGTGCTGCAGCCCCACCGCCTCACCTCCATGCAGGGACGCAGGGCTGCCGCTGGGCGCTGCAGATGTGGGTCTGCTGCGCTGCCCTCGCACTGCCAGGTCCACACTGTGCTGCTTTGGACAGAAACCTATGGGTGAGTGGCCAGAGGGGACGCATCCCCATGTCGCCACATCACAACATTCCCACATCTCCATATCCCCATATCTCCATGTCCCCACATTCCCACATCTCCACGTCCTCATGTCCCCACATCTCAACATCCCCACGTCCGCAAATCCCCACATCTCCATGTTCCCACATCTCCACGTCCCCATGTCCCCACATCTCCACATCTCCATGTCCCCACATTTCCATGTCCCCACATCCCCATGTCCCCATGTCCCCACATCCCCACATCCCCATGTCCCCACATCTCCATGTCCCCATGTCCCCACATCTCCAGATCCCCACATCCCCATGTCCCCAAGTCCCCACATCCCCATGTCTCCATGTCCCCACATCCCCACATCTCCATGTTCCCACGTCCCCACATCCCCACGTCTCCATGTCCTCACATCCCCATGTCTCCATATCCCCACATCCCCACATCCCCCTGTCCCCCCGTCCC